CATATATCATATCCAAGTATCGAGACAGTGACGCTCGAGCGTCACGAACGATCGCATCAATCCCATTTGGAATTCCATTCGCCATCTGCTCTGGCGCCAAGTACTCGCGTGTGTCCTGGATGGCGGCTGGGAGAAGGGCTTTGGTGACGAGCTGTCGGAAGCTTTGGCCTATGGCGATATGCCTGATTTTTCCCGGCTGCGGTTGAAGCGGCAGCAGCGTGGCGGTATTGGCAAGCGGAATTGTTCGAAGGGGAGGCGAACCTCGAGCAAGGCGATTGACAAGGTTCGTGAGCGCGGACAATCCCGTTACGCCAGCTTCAGGACTGATAGATGTAGTCGCGAGCAGGTGAAGGAGTTTGGGTGACATGCGGTCCGAACCCGCGGCGGAGTTCGGGTTGAGGCGACGGACCGCATGTAATAACTCATTCTCACTGACCTCGGGTGGTCTGGGGTGCGCTGAAGGGGGGAGGGGCTTTACGGGTATTTGGGGGAAGGGGTGCAGTTGGCGGAGCTTGTAAATTATAGCAGGGTCATTGGGGTCTGCGATGGCCGGATTTGTGAAGGTGCGCATGGCCTGTCCATATCGAGCTTGGGCGGCGAGTCTCATAGCTCGTGCGGCCTGGGCTGATGATGAAATCGCAGAAGAACGTCGCTTGAAATGCGTATCTTGCCACTCCTTCCTGGCTCGATGCGCTTGCATGGCTTCTTGCCACAACGCCCCCCATTGCGTGCCTGTGCACGCCCTCAGAATGCGGAGGCGGAGGGCATGCATTTGCCCAAGTGATGAGCGCCATCCTGGCTCTCCTCGGAAGGATTTTCGGAGCACCGCGGTTGGGAACATGTGAAACCGCATAAAAGCCTCGTGGGTAGTTTCAGGAGTCTGGGCGGCTGTCGCCGCGCGGGTAAGGCGTATGAATAGAAGGACCGTGCTATGTATGCACGGGCTTGGGATGGAGGAGAAAAGATCAGAGGGACGGATGGGGGAGCAGAGGAGCTCCTGGACGGACGGGAGTGGGGAAGGGGGTGCTTCAAGGGGTGTCTCGGGGGGTACAAGGAAGAACCGGAGGCCTGAGTCGAGAGGGGCGCGATTGTAGGGTTGGCGCCTTGGTTGTGGTGGGGTTCATTTGGAGTCATGATTTTTTGATTGCAGCCTTGCCCTTGTCCGGGGAGGCTGAGGTGAGCTTGGTGGGGCGAGATATGGCGCTGGAGGAGAGTGCGTGTGACATGTCATGGTCGCCATGCGCAGAGTCAGAGTTGGGGGAGCTCAGCAGAGAAAGATAGTGAGCGCTTGCGTAAGAGATTTGGGGGTGATAACGAAGCAGAAGTGGCTATTAGTGTCTGGGAGGCTGGGGGACTGTGGAGGGTGTCTGCGGGCGCGGGAGGACTCGTTTCAGGGGAGGAAACTGACGCGTTGGTTTGGGCAGAGGGGGGTGGGACCGGGGGACGATTGGCAGTTGCAGTGGGGGAAGGAGGTGCCATGGCGACATCGCCCACCGTCGCCACAGGAGCCGAGGAAGTGGTTGGGTCCCGAAGTGGCAG